AAGGCCTTTTGTGTGATAGAAAAGTTCCTCTTAGACTGAAAGGAAAATTTTATAAGATGTTGGTGAAACCTGGAATGCTCTATGGAACTAATGTTGGCCTTTAAAAGAGAAGCATAATACTAAGTTAAATGTTGCCGAGATGAGAATGATTAGGTGGATAAGTGACTTTACGCTGAGAGACAAAATGAGAAATGAATATATTTGTGATAGCGTTGGTGTAGCTCCAGTGACAGACAAAATTAGAGGGAGCCGTCTTAGATGATTTGTTCACATTAACGCCGATTATCTGATGATCCGATTAGGAGAGTAGATGTTTTAGATTCGACTTATGTTAAGAAAGGCATAGGTAGACCTAGGAAAACTTGGGCTTATTGTATAAAAAAATGATCTTAATTTATTAGGACTAAATGAAAATATTTCACTAAATAGGACGCAATGGAGAAAAATGATTCATGTAGCCGACCCCACGTAGTGGGATTAAGGCTTTATTGTTGTTGTTGTTGTTATTGCAAGATGTACTATGAAATCAACTATAATTTTTTTTCATTGCATTTTGTTTTTTATTATATAATCATCATATAACTGCTCTTAACTACTATTTGCTCATTAAAATCATCTCCAATGGCAATCCTTTCTACATTAGATATAAGTTATAGGAGTTTGTCCATTTCTTTCTAAGATTTGTTCTTTAAATTATCTTCTAATTTAACTTGCCGAGCATACGGACCACATTTGTAATTTACTCATTGTTAATTATCTTGATAGCAATTAGCCTTTCAATAATTCTACTAGGAAGTATTTCTTTCAACTCTTTATCTACTACTAACCTGACCTTTCCATTATTAAAATTTTCAAGGTATAATAGTTTATGAGCTTTGCCAACATTCTTTTATTTTCTTAGTTTCTATTTTGTTTCCTGTATATAAGAATATTTACTATTATTGTCATTTTGCCAACCAATTTTTTGACCTTTCTATTTGTAGTACTTAAATTTTATGCAACAAATCTAATTTTGGATTTGAACCTAGGAATCCCTTGATTACTTGTTAACTTAATCGGTTAATCTATGGCACATCACTTAGGGGTGACGTCCTAGCACACTTTTGCTTGCTTCTCATCACAATTGGGTTAAGTTGTGGTATAGCTCTTTAGATGATGTCCTATTTCACCTTTGTCTGCTTCTCACTACAATCAAGTTATGTCATTGTGTTGAAATTCAAAATAATGCGGAATTATTTTTTTGATATTAAAGGGGTATAAATAACCCTTACATGAATCTTAAAATATGAAATACAATAAAAAATAAATAATATGAAGGTAAATATATATCACTTAATATCTCCAATTAATCAATTCATATTAATTATTTAGAGATCAAGGAAAGAACTCCTAATCCAAGAAACTAATATAAAATAGAAAAGGAAATAATTTTTAATCTAAGAAAATAATTTATTCCTTATAACTTCTCACAGGAATAAATTATTTTTTAATATAACTTTTAGCACTCCCCCTCAAGTTGAAACATGATTGAAAATCACGTTCAACTTGGATTTGAAAACATCAAACAATGAGCGAGAGAGATCCCATGAAGTAGAACTTGAAGTCTTCATCAAGTACTGCAGTTGCCTTTGACTGTAATTCTTGCAGTGTCTGTAGGTAAGCGAAAAACTCCTACATTTAATGTTGCAAGGAGTTTGCAGGGAAGTAGACAACTGTGGTTTTTGCAGTTTCTGTAGATAGGCGAAAGACTTATACAAGTAATGCTGCATGGGAGTTTAAAGGAAAATAGATAAGTTGTAGGAAAAAAAACTGACTTCTAGTTGACTGCGGTTTTCTTTGAATACAGTTCATGCAATATCTGTAGGTAGGAGGAAGACTCCTACAGATAATGTTATAGAGGAGTTTGCAGGGAAGTGGACAACTTTTAGAAAAGTTGCAAGTTAAGACTCATCACAGAAAAAAAAATGTGAAGCTTTGGAGGTAGGTTTGTTTCAGGAAAAGGCTGCTGAGGTAGAGCTTGAGGGAGGAAAAAGACTCTGAAAATGGGTCTGTTGTGGGAAAGATTCTGGAGGAGGGCCTTATTCAGGAAAAACTCTAGAGGAGGTTGATGCATCAATGTCAACAACTTCGACAAATGCATTGAAACACATCATGATGCATTTTGTCAAGAAACAACTAAAGCATATGGTTTTTGCATATGCAATTTCTTGCATCTTTCTTTCGATTCGACGGGAAAGCGCTGCAACATCAGGAAAAAAAAAAACTTCCATTATAAAGAAGGAAACTAAGGGCAACACGAAAAGAGGCACCCGCACTAAATAAACTACTGCATTGACTGCATAGACCATATTTGGGCACTCTCCCTGTCTGGTAATATATCCACCCAACGCCCTCACTATTGCAAATGGAAGCCAGAGCAGCGGTGCCAAATAAGTAACTTAGGGAATCAGGCAAGCCGTATTGCTGGAAACCAGAAAGCCGAACTATTGCAAGAAAGAAGTGCCAAAGAATAGCGGGAATGACCTGCAGAAAAGGCGGCTAGACAGTTGCACCTCCAGGGAAAACTGCACCTACAACAACAAGGACCTGTAGAAAATTAGAGAAGCCGAACAGCTGGAAACCAAAAAGCTGGTAGTCGAACTGCTGGAAACCAGAAAGCCGAACTATTATAGGGAACATATGCCAAAGAATAGCGGGAATGACCTGCAGGAAAGGCGGTGAGACAACAACCCCTCCAACAGCAAGGATTTGCAGAAAATCTAGGAAGCTGAACTATTGGAAATTAGTAGGCCGGACTGCCGCTTGTAACAAACGTAATAAAAAACAACGGGAAGGATGATAGGGAAAAAGGGATCCTCCTTTCTTATTTCTGGTGGCTGAAATGTGGAGGGAAGACGACTGAGAAAATAGTTCCCCCTTTTCAAGATTTCTCTTATTGGAAGGTCTGTTGTAAGAAAGATTCTGAAACATGGCTGCTGCACGAAACAACTTGATATGGCAACACTTCTTCTGATGATGAAATTGTATTACTCGATGAAGCCACTTGAGTCAAAGCATTTGCAACATCCTCAATCAATTGATCCATAAATACAATCATCAAAAGCACATCTTGGTGATGAAGAACTATCAACATCAATCTTGGGGTGGTACGGATTATTGGGCTCTGTGATTTTCTGCCTCACTGGTTTATTTGATTCAATCTCATGCAAGTTTGCCTCATTCCATCCACACAATTACTCATCTTCGAAAGCAGTAACCCATTTCAATAGATTATAGACGCACACCTCAGAAAAATTGCTCCTTCAAGTTCGATGCAAAGCTTGCTCCTTCAAACTCTTGGTCAAACCGTTGAAGACGATGCTTGACGCCTCGAACTCTCGAACACTAATGTCTATGCTGCTTCCGTTCAAACTCTAGCTTGACATCGAATTGTCAAAGGTGATGATCGATCACCTCAAACTCTCAAACAACAGTGTCTACTATTTCTCTTCGAACTATATGTCGAAGGCCAACTTTCGAAGAAGTTGCTCTGGTGCCTCGAACTGTTGAAGATGATGGCACCTCAAACCCTGGAACACGTTCTCTACTCTTGTGCTCCTTCGAAGTCTAAATTTTCAATCAAACCTTTTTATTTCTCTCGTTGTCGTTGAACTGGACTGCTTTGCTTCAGCTCCTAAAAACGCGCTTCACAAATGCAACTGAATTGAGCTATAGCGGAGCGGCAGGATTCAAACTTCATCCAATCAAGATGAAGGCCACTCAAACTTGGAAGAGGCTTTGGAAAGCCTTGAAAACCTTAGTTCAAAGATGAAAGGTGGAGAACCAAAACCGCTTTCGAACCCGTTATACGTAGTTCGTGGCCGAAGTTATGGGATCCTCGCGAGTAAGGAGGCGATGTTCAAAATTACATGCAGGGATCTCTTCGAACGATGAGTGCCTGGACGGAGAGGAGTCCCTCCCTTTTCGTGAGGATGATGGAAGAAAGGGAGTTTGAATGGCTTTGGATGGAGGACTGGTGGTTGGGGTACAGAGTTTGTCTTTGATACCATGTTGAAATTCAAACTATTGCGGAATAATGTGAAATTATTTTATTGATATTATAAGGGGTATAAATCACCCTTACATGAATCTTAAATTAGGAATACAATAAAAAATAAATAATATGAAAGGAAAAAATTATTACCTAATATTTCTAATTAATTAATTTATATTAACTATTTGGAGATAAAAGAAATTACATAAAATATGAAAGCCTAAAATAGGAAAGGAAATAACTCATAATCCAAGGAAATGAATATAAATTAGGAAAGAAAATAATTCACAATCTAATGAAATAATTTATTCCACAACTTCTCACGAGAATAAATTATTTCTTAATATGACCTCTAACACATGGGGTGTAGCTTCTGTAGAGTGTCTTGGCGTTGTCAAAATTTTAAATTTGGATTTATTTCAATATATTTTATGGAGTTTTATAACTAATTATAGCATGATACCAAACCTCAATCTTTCTCATTTAGGCTTGGGATTGAAATGCATTAATTGACATAATAATAATATTAATAATGATGATGATGGTAGTGGTGGTGGCGGTGGTGAAGACATGGTTGGTCACATAGAGGGGCCCATCAATCAAAGTTAACATTCCAAGATAATTCAAGTGCCACAAATGGTCTCTAGCCTGGTCACATTAACAATACTAATGATGCTTATAGCCGCAGGATAAGTTGACTCAAAAAATAAGTGAACTAAAGGTAAAACCAAGTATAGGGGTGGAAAGTTGCAATGAGGCATGTAGTTAATGTGTTTGCTTTAATGGTTAAGAATAGTCAGAAACAGCTGTTTTTAAGGATGGTGAAAATGGTTCTATGATTTTTAAATTGATTTTTTTTTTTGTAGAAATCTTTTGGCAGTATGGAAATTTGGCTTAACTTCATCTAATTGAAGTTTATGCTCACTGTAAATAGTCTTGCTCATCTTGTTTTGAAAACTTTTTGCAGTGAATATCTGACTTATGTTATGGAGGCCATTGAATTGGAAGACACTATAAAGAATTTTGACTGTCGTGATTCATCTGGATGGTTAGTTTGCCGTTAATTCTCTCCTTCATTATTTTTTTAGGATGTTTGCATTATTTTCAAAGAATTTTTTTTTTATTTTATGGTGTATTTTGTTTTCAACTAAAATATGTCTACATTGCATAAATAGATGTGGGTGTTGTTGAATGCTTTTAGCCTTATTGTCTTTGCAAGTTTACCATGAATGCCAACCAATCCCATCTACTATGTCCCTCTCCCACGACCTCATTTTTCCAGTCTCTAATTTTATATTCATAAAAAGGTTTAGAATTTTGTTCTTATTCAAAACTAAATGATAGAATTCTGTACCTCAAGAATTCCTTCAAATGGATTTCATGCATTCCTTTTCACTAGAAGAAAAGAAAGCTCCATGCCAACCTTTTCGTGTGATGTCAGTTAAGTTGAAGTTATTGCACCATTGTCTCAGCAAATTATCTGCTTTAAAATTCAAGGCGTGGAATCTGCTAGAGATGACGGGGTCTTTGACAAGATAGTTATTTTTATTTTGTTTTATTTATTTTATTTTATTTTATTTTTAGGGAAATTTAGATACGTAGCACCCAATTCTTATGCATTTACTTATTTCACACCCAAACTCTGATTTTTAGAAAACCATCACCCTACCTATGTATGAAATTGTGGATTTCACCTTTGGAGAGCAGTTAAATGGGTTACATTGGGTGCTTGGTTTGTAAAAAATGAGAGTTTGGGTGTGAGATAAGTAAATGTATTAGAATTGGGTGTTGTGTATGTTATTTCCCTTTTTTTATTTGGAGTTCTATATTCAAGTCATTAAAGATATGTATACTAGAGCTATTACTTGTGTTCAAACAGAAGGAGGATTGACCTAATATTTTTCTATTTCTGTTGGATTACATCAGGGATTGACTTTAAGCCCATTTCTTTTTTGCTTTAGTTATGGATGGTCTTACTGGACATTTACAGGAGGATGTACCTTGGTGTATGGTTTTTGCGGATGATATCCTTCTGTTGGATAAGACGAGAGAGAAAACTCAGGAAAAACTTGAATTGTGGAGGTCTACATTGGAGTCTAAAGGCCTTCGTTTGAGTAGAACTATAACTAAATACAATGAATTTAATTTTAGTAGTAGTAGTTCTAGTGACAAAATTGTAACTATGGGTGATCAAATAATTAAAAGGTGTGAACTCTTTAGATATTTAGGGTATATTGTTCAGAGTGATGGAGATATAGATGGGGATGTTATTAGTAGAATTCAAGTTGGTTGGTTGAAGTGGAGGAATGCTTCAGGCCTATTGTGTGATAGAAAAGTATCGCTTAGATTGAAAGGAAAATTTTATAAGGTGGTGGTGAAACCTGCAATGCTCTATGACACTGAATGTTGGCCTTTAAAAGAGAAGCATAAAACTAAGTTAAATGTTGCTGAGATGAGAATGATTTGGTGGATGAGTGGCTTTACACTTAGAGGCAAAATGTGAAATGAATATATCCGTGCTAGGGTTGGTGTAGCTTCAGTGACGGACAAAATTAGAGAGAGTCGTCTTAGATGGTTTGGTCACATTAAACGTCGACCATCTGATTATCCGATTAGAAGAGTAGATGTTTTAGATTCGATTTATGTTAAGAAAGACAGAGGTACACCTAGGAAGTCTTGGGCATATTGTATAAAAATGTTCTTAATTTATTAGAATTAGATGAAAATATGACACTAAATAGAACGCAATGGAGAAAAAAGATTTAGGTAGCCGACCCCACTTAGTGGGATAAATATTTTGTTATTGTTGTTGTTGCTGGAGTTCTCTTATTCATTGCATGTAATAACTAGTGTTGTCGTGGAGCATGACATAGAAAGAGTGGAAAATAAATTGTGGGAGAGGGACAACAACGTCAGTGTATGAGTTTGGTTAGCTGTGGCTGAGGGAACAAAGACAATACAAATCTTTCAATGCCATTTTTGTAAATAGAATAAGATGTCCTTTGTTTTAAAGTATCATTGTTCCATGCAGCTTGCTATTTGTTTTACTAAGAAAAGCTAAAATAAATGTTAAAACTACATCCTAATTTCTAGTTTTTTCAACAGAATCCCATCTGGATGTTGTCTTTTCATTTAAGATTCACATCTCAATAATTTTTTTATTTTTCCCTAATCTGGCTGAGTAATAAGCTATCATGTACAGTTAAGTTTACTTTATACTTGATAGTGTAAATTTTGTGAAACTTTTGTTTATTGTATGTAATATACGTGACTATAAAAGTCTTGCACTTTAGATTATTAAAATATTGATTAGGAGTTTAGGTGGTTTATTTCTAAGGGTTTAGGTGTTTAAGGAAATTAAGGATTTAAGGATTAAAGATAATGGATTAGCGTTTAGGGGTTACTGGGTAGATATTCAGGGGATATAAGTGTTACAGATAATGGATACTAAAGCAATGATCTGTTATGCTTTGATGGGGGAAAAAAAAAAATACATTTTTGAATCACTTTTCTTCCCACTTGAACGTGTATTATTAGCTCTCAAAAGTTAGCTTTGCATGGCTGTTTGAAATGTTTTTTATCCAGATTATACTTTGATATTGTTATTGAATAAGCTTCGCTGGATGCCCACAGGAAATATATTTCAAGTTTTAGAGGAAGTCGGACTGGCAGGTTTGGATCCTTTCTGGATACAATGGGTAAACTTCTTAATCAGTTTTGAATTCGGTATCTTGGCTTATATAACGTGTTTTCATGGTTGGGTCACAAGCTGCTGAATTATACTGAAATTGATAAAAAAAACCATCTGTATTTGTAGAATTTGTGTGGCGCTGCATTCTCCACAAACAACTTAAAAAATGCACAGCTGTTTTACTTGGTTGCATGTCAGTCGCCATCCTGTTAGCTGAAGCTACGCTTTTGCCGAGCGGGGTTGATTTGTCTCTTTTTTCCATTCTTATAAATGCAGTTGGGAAACAGGAAATGCTTTCTCAGGTAAATGCTTGAATGGATAGCCAGGGCTGTTGATTTTTCATCAATGCTGGCACATTTGGAGTTTTTTTTTGCCTAAATATTTTCATCTCATTTTTTAGCTATTATATGTCTCAAGGCAAGTTCATATATTTTTTCATATTCAATTTTTTTTGAGGAACTTGTTTTAGATGATGTTTCTCACTTGCATCAACTCTCTTTAGAAGTTTGTTTGTTGTATTTTTTATTTTCATGGTTGCTCCTATCTGAAACAGAATGCTTTGAGGTTATTTTAAGTTGTCCAATCAAACTCAATTTATTGTGATGGCTGTCACAAACAGGGATTAATGATGGACATTATGACATTGGATACACTTAAAATATGAATGAATTGATGTTAACTTGATCAATGTCATATTCTGCTTCAATTGGTTAAATTTGGCCACCCATTTTGTGCATATCATTCTTCTTCTAAGTGGTTGCTTTCCATTTGTTTCTGAACTGGGGAACACTCTTAAAGCGCAATTCACAGAATATCAGTTCAGACATGAATTTGTAACTGATCTTTTTTCCTTACGAACACATTTTCAACTGGTTTGCAATACCTGTTTGGCTTGTTGAGCCCTTGAGAGAGCTGTTCAGTTGACTTCTCTTAGTTTAGATGCATTGTTTGAACTCTGTTTTTTGCTCTTTTTATACTATGCATCCTTTGTTTTCCAGGTGGAAGTAAATTGGAAAAGCATTCACATATGCTAAATTTTTTAGGTATTGCCTTTACTCCCTGTGCCAGTAAATGTAACAGACCAACCTCTCTCCCATCAAGATATTTTCTGCTTTGATTTAATGGCCTTATGGTTTTATCCCATTGGTATAACTTCTCAAAGGGCCGGTCATCCCAAAAGCGCTCTCATGTGAACTTGCGTAACTTTGAAGTTTTTGATGAAATTCTAACCGCTGCATTAGAAAACATCTCAATGTTAAGAGTTTTGTTTTATTTTATTGAAGGTGTTTCACAATCTCCCTCATTTAAGCAACTCAAGTTTTTGTTTGTTATCTTAACCCATAATCATCCATCAAGAAGATATGATTCTAGAGGTGGTTCCTCTAGATTCAAGAGGTGGCCCCCACCATATAGCAATTGCTATCCATTTAGTGTTTAGGAGGTGGTTCGCATAGCGTACCACTTTGTTTTATAGTACACTTAATTCCCATTTTCAGGTTGGTGTAACACTGTTGCCATTTACAATATTTCAAACTCTCAATCATCAAGTTGTCGTCCGCTTTGGCCTGAGGACCTCATGGTTTTATCGTGTTAGTGTAAACTTCTCAAGATGTCATACATTCGAAGAGTGTTCCATATAAGCATGCTTAATGTTCGAATTTTTTATGAAACTCCAACCGTTACACAAAAAAGTGCCTGGATGTTTAAGAATTTGGCTATATTTTATTTAAGGGGTTTCACAGTAAATATAATTATAATTTCCGTTCCGGCAATGTCAATCCTGAGTGTACATTTTATGTTTCAAGTTTGTGCTTTAAATATTAATGCTTGACTAATGAGGGTCCTCTTCTGTACTGACTTTGAAATCATTTTATTTCAGTTTTGATCAATGATGATGATATATGCTTTTACAGATTGCGGCATTTATTCCTCTTATGTATATGTGTATTTGCACATACTATTCGTTGTTCAAGATTGGAATGCTCATGTTTTATTCATTTACACCAAGACAAACAAGTTCAGTCAGCTTGCTTATGATATGCTCGTAAGTCTCTTCAAACTCTTATTCGTCAAATATATGGAACTGCTCATTTATGGTCTATTTTCTCCGTGGCAGAATGGTTGCACGTTATGCACCTCCAATTTCTTATAATTTTCTGAATCTTATACGTCTTGATGTTGATGAAAAAACTGTTTTTGAAAAGGTACGTATCCTTGATCTTCCTTTGTTTAACGTATTTAAACTTTGGCTTAATTTGTTGGTGATGCTTGCAGCTGATGTTAAACGATATCTTTTCCTTATTCTTCTTTTCTAGTTATACTCCACTTCATTGATATTTTAATTACATGTGCAACTAACTACTTTAAGAAACCTGTTTGATGAAGAAGGCACGATTAGCCTTTGAAATAGTGCATAGTTTGATTTTATCCCCAGCTAATAATTTTATGATAACTTTTTAGCACTGTCGGCCATTTTAATTTTGGTTTTAAAAAATATAGGAAAATATGAAAATAGTTTTGATATGAATATGATTTTTGGAAGTAACATTTTGATTTAAAAAAATAGGTGAGACCAAACAATTCTCATATTTTGGATAGTTTAGATGACTAAGCACGATACCACAAGTAATATACTTATCCCGAAGAATAAACATATCACTTGTAGTAGGCTCAATCACCTAAATTAAAGAATTTGTGACATCCGTTTGGTCTGCGAAATATTTTATATGAGGCCAACAAGTTTTCCTACCTAATATAAAGATTAGACAGAGTTTATTTTACCTAGGTTCCAAGTTTCCTATAGAGGCAAGCCTCTATAGTTAATTACATCTTAAATGACCGGGGTCACTTAAGAAAACTCTCCATTAAAATCAGTGGTTTTACTTTCTAGATTTCAAATTTTAGGTTTCCAAGATTGAATATAAGAAAATCAAATGAGAATGACTCAAATAAGAACAATTATTTTAAGGAATCTAAATGAGCGAAGAGTAGGGGATATAACTGATATGGGGAGAACTCTGGTGACCTCCCAACTATCCTATTGTTTGACTTTATGTTTTTTGAAATGATCTTATTTAATGTTTAATCCTGCAATTTATTTAAAATTTAGTACTTATGTTCGTAAGTCTAAAAAGATAGGAGGATTTACAACGTACCGTACGATAACGTCGTAATCCTATGGTGTTAGGACTTATAATTGCACAACAGGGTTATGCAAGAGCCTAAAAGTGATATGTGAGAGTTTACGTTGCGCTAAACAAACCATCTCGAACTCCTACGGGTCCTTATTTAAACTAAGGAAAGTGTTCGGTGATGTAAAAGTGTTTTGATGTTAATAATCCACCTTGAAGTTGTTCCTCATCGTGCTGCCCACAGTATTCGCTCCAAAACTCTTCGTAGTAGCACCTCCAAGTTTGATATTAATTCCTATGTAACCACTAGGTTTTCCTAAACTAAGGTATAGTGTGTATCAAAGTAACAAAACATGAAGTATAAAAGAAAAGAACAATATAATGTACAGTAAAGAGAAAGAACAATATAACATGCTGAAAGAATAGTATAATGTACTAGGAAAAACAGTATAACATGCTAGAATAGTAATACAACATGCTAGTAAATAAAAATGTTGCAATGTAAATCACACCTGTAAATTTGGGAAGTCTGCTGCTCCTTTAAACTAGCTATTATTCACTGTATAAATAAAATAAACGTTGCTTAGAAAATTCGAGAAAATTGACAAATAAATCCATGACGAAAAACTCGGGAAAATCGACGAGTAGTAATTTAAATAAAACTATCAAAACCTCGGGAAAATCCCGGAGAAAAGAGACCACTAGTGCTTTGTCCAAAATCCAATAAAACATATGAAAAAGTCCGAAAAGAGGGGACCGCAAGCATTCGGGTCGGGGCTAGGCTCAAATATATATTTGTACTCAAGGGACGTCGAACGCTACTCGGCCACCCGAATGTATAAAGTCCGCCACTCCACAAGAAGAATATCCTGTTGAATTTAACTTAAGAGGGTACTCCTTGGCCCAGAATTGGTAATCAACAGGTGGATAACTAAGTTGTGATATATATTTAAAATTTATTATTTTTGGCATGCATATGAATTTCAGGCATACAAAAGGAAAGTTGTATCAATTTTTGTAGTGAAAATATTTTATAAATCATTTTATCTGTTCTTATCAGTTTTAAGAAAAAAATAGTTGCTCACGACTCGATTACACCATCGGACATAGGACTACCAACAACCTAAGAAGGTACGGGTCCTCCTCTAGTCTTATGTCGGTGAATGATACTTTCATCCTATAGTTCATCAGGTCTCAGAATTGAGTCCTGGTGTTGCAGAATGAGCTGCTCTACCACCAGCGTGCCTTTATCATCATCGCCCAACGCCCCAAAACAAAACCGACCTACTTGCGACCTTGCTTAATGGTTTCACATATAGCAAAAGGTTATACACGAGCATTTATGTATCAGACATAAGCACAAAAAATCGAACCAAGAAGCAAGAAAAAAAAAAGAATAAAAATGGGGATGAGAGAGAGGAGGAATCGATCCACCCAAAAGATCGGAAGGGTAAAGGATGAAGCAATCCTCAAAACTGTATAAAAAAGATCTAAAGATAGAGCCCAAGATCCTTGAATCAACCCAAGAAGGATATAATTTTCTCAAATGTTATTAATTTGATCAACCTAAGACGGGTATCATTTCCAGACATTTAACATATCGTTCCTTGCAAAAGAGCATTTTGAATTCTCTTAAACGTCACGAATTGACAAATTTTATTTTACCAACATCGAAATACTCAATTTCACATTAAATTAGAAAGAATTCCCAGGCCACTTAACCTCACTTCTTTCAAAGGATTGCACATAACCACTCATGGCCAGGGCAACAAGGAGAACCACCCAAAATAGGCTAACGGGTAGGGGTAATAGGAGGAGCCCGTCCAGGTTCAACTCACTGGTCAAGGTACCAAAGAGAGACAAAAATCATAGAGAGGGAATCATCCATCAAGCTTACGGGCAAAGACACCAAGGAGCACCAACCGAACCCAAGTTAAGACTACAATAGGATCACAGATAGACACAATATACAAAGGTCAACTCTGCCCCGAAATAACACATTTAGCCAAATATTCATTACCCAATCAACAGGAAACATTTAAATAGAACAGAATGATATTATAAGAAATGTTCATAGCCAGGAACATCCAATGGAGAGTCAACGAATCCGGAACATGGAGATTCACAGCCAGGGACAGCCAAGGGGAGCAACACAGAACACCAAAAATCCAATAAAATCATCCTCATATGTTTCAAACAAAGGCATCCATAATTAAGAGCCAAAACTGAACCGCAAAATAGACTTCTTGAAGTATTAAAACAGGCTCCAACATATATCTGAACAGAGAAAATATCAAGAGATAAAACCAAACATCTGAAATTAAGTTCTTCAATGTCTAAACAGATTCCAGCACCCTTTGAATAGGGGCAGCAAAGAACAATCTAACAGGACAAAAGGGAAAACAACTAGGATGCTTACGGGTAAAGGGCAGCAGCCCAAAAACCACTAAACAGACTCACAACAAAGAACAAAGCCAGGAATGGCCACTTTTGTTATACATAAGAGAGTGAATGGACAAACTACCATAAATCATTAGGACCGAACCCACTTTCATCATATAAGACATGACAACGCTCACATTAAACATTCTCACATAGAGATAGATATTGCAATTCATGAATTTTTTGGATGACAAACTTGATTACCCATAAAAAATTTCATGAGGAACATTACACGAAGAACTTCCAACCAAGTCGGGCCCAACAAAGAGCTAATTTTAGCCCACCGAAAAGGACTAAATAAGGAAGGAATTTCAGCAAACATAAATCACCAAAAGGAGCCCAAACTGAGCCCACCAAAGGGGCAAACCGACCCCAACATAGGGGCAAACCAAGCCCAACACGGGCAAACCAAGCCCAAGGAATGGTCCAAACAGTAAGAGATTTCAGCCAACATAAATCACCAAAAGGAGCCCAAACCAAGCCCACTAAAGTTGCAAACCAAGCCCAGCACAGGGGCAAACCAGAATAAATTTTTTTTTAGTTCAACTAAACCTAGCAAAAGAGAATCCATAACAGATATATTTTTGAGTTGAACCAATTCCCTTTCTTAAATCAAATTAAACCCCTTATAAAGGCTAGTGACAAGAATATAATTTAAGTCAAAACCGCACCCACTTAATGGAGAAAACATATCAGTATTTCCAACATGAATTTGACCCAAAAGAGTCAAAGCCGCACCCAATGAATGGGCCAAAACAAAATATAACTTCCAACTAATCATTTAATCCAAAAAGAAACCAAAATTAAGTCTACCAGATGGGTCAAAACAAAAATATACTTTCTAGCCAACGTTTAATCCAAAAAGAAGCTAAAACCGAACCCAACCATATGGGGAAAACAGGGGAAAATTTCAGCAAGGATCCATCTCAAAAGAGTCAAAACCGAACCCAACAAATGGGTCTTTCCTGCATAAGTTCAGTCCCAAAAGATCCAAACAGAGCCCACCAAATAGGCTAAAAACAGAGAAAATTTTCCAATAAGGCTCCAACATGTCATCCAGCTTTGAAACTAATATTAACATTCACTTGGATGAGCATAAAAAAAAATTTCAGCCTTGTATTTTCCAATATTCATTTCAAACATGAATAGTAATAATGAAGAGCTTTGATAATCCATTGTAACATGCATTTCTAGAGGGGCAAATTTCATTTCAAAACCACCATTATGATACTTCCAAATATCTCAAGCAAGAAGAACAAAAGCAGCCCATTCATATTATATTGTAATGTTTATAAGAATTATTTCATGCTTTAAATCTTAAAACAAGCCCAAGTCTTGCTTTCACATGCTTTTCAATAAGGGCAGCAACAATTATTTCATCAGCATGTATTTCAAATAAGTAAATGACAACACAAGAAATCTGAAAAATTAAATTTCTACCCAACATGCAATTTGAACAAAGAAAATAGCCACAATGAGCCAACACTAAGCCCCAAACTGAGAATAAATTTAAACTTTTCTTTTCTCAAGTAATTTCATTGTGCAAGCTTCCCTAGCATCCTTCACATTTTTCAGAAAATGTATTTTTAATTTATGCATTTCACTCATATGTTTCAGCTCCCCAATTCTATAACCATTCTCATTCCTAACATTAAACTCAAGGCATGAGAATCAAATATTTCCTTTGAATACTTGCGGAAAGAAGGAGGAAGAAGATTACCTCTTGATGTAGATTCAATAGTAAACTCAAGAACCAGCCTAAGAAGATAAAATCAGCAAAAAAAAACTCCCTTAGGAACCTTGATGCAAAAGCACAAGTCTCCTAAAAGCCTTAAGAATACAACAGTAAATGTGCACGACTAATAAAGATCCAACAATAAGCAACCAAGGATGCAGCTACTTTTTCTCCTCCCTTTCAGACTTTACCCAAGAGAAAACAAAAATTCCAGAAATATTTCAAGCACACAGGATGAATAAAAAAAATGGCAGCACCTCCCCTTCTCAGAATTTTTTGGCCAACCCTATACCTCCCCAAAGTGGGGTTTTTTTATAGCAAAGAAAGGAGAGTGGAGAAGCCACCTACCAGCCTCACTGGTGTCCGAATCAAGTAAAGGGAGAAGAAAAAATGCATTTAGGGAGGAGGAAATGCAGCTTAGGGCAGAGGAAGAGTCGGCTAGATGGAGCTTCATCGTTGGAAAGCCGCTCGGTCAAGCGGAGCTCGAGGAGGCGAGCCGCGTGCGCGAATGGTAGGGGAGACGCGGGAGGGGAAGAGTCGGCAGGGGAGACGCGGCTGCGATCGAGCCGTGCCTGGGAAATGAGTTGCGGAAGCTAGGGCACGCCCAAGCGGCTCTCGGTCCTTCGAGACTGGAAGGAATGTCAGTCATAAAGAATGAAATACAACTAGACTCCGGGTTGTGAGAACATCGTGCCTGTTGCGATTGTGTGGCTTTTCCGCATGGTTGGAGACCCCCTCTGAACAAAAAGTAGGGTGGTGTAGGAGAACCTCAACTCCCTAATGCAAGAGAGAGCTTTTAGGGTGCGTTTCGTCTTTGTCAGGAAGAAAGGAGTGTATCCATACCCATACCGAAGAGATCTTGGGAAGGCATCTCTCTCGATTGAGTAGTTGTAATACCAAAGACCCAATCGGGTCATGACAGCTGGGGGTAGTCGATCGATTCTCCAAGATAGCAGGCTTCAATTCGCGATCACGAATGATGCAACGGAGCCGGGTGGATGCCAAACCTGCCCTGCCGTAGTCGGTTTCGCAGCAGGGAAGAAGACGGCGCATAGTTCCGGTGACAGTTTCTGAAACCGGGGGGGCTTCTCTCCTGGACTGAAGGCGGCATATCTTTGTGGGGCGAATAGGCTGAGTCGTCTTCTTGTTAGCTTGATGGCTGTGACGAAAGAGCCGACAACATTTCCTTCGATTCATCAAACCACAACACTTGATTTTGTCTGCTTGCACCGTTCGAGGCAGAGGAATGTCGCATGTGCGACTGGAGGAAAGTCGTGTGTGGGTAAGGGTCAAATAGGATTTAGGATTATAAATTAGTTTATAATTAGTGATATAATTATAAAAATACCAAATATTTTGAAAATTAAAATTTGATCTGTCTCTTTTATTCGTGCGTCATAACATAACAAAATTGGTGTCTATTTTAGGTAATTCTGACGTTTCGGACCCGCTGGCGTGGTCCGTTTCGTCGTCGGATATCGTTTTGACAAATTTGTCGATTTGCGTGTGATTTTCTCTGTCGGAAATTATGACAATATGAGTGTCTTTTCCTACTAAAATTGGTGTCCCGGATGTGTTGGCATAGTCCATTTCGTCATCGGATGTCATCCGGAGAAGTTAGCATTTTCACCCATCCTTTAAGCTCAATTTTAGTTCGATCTTGTACATCGTAGTGAATTTTATGCATTTTGTGTGTGTATGTGACGATAAAGTCTTGTGGAGGTTTTCCTAGGGTTTGAAATCCTATTGAGAACTTTTCTCTGAGTCTCCATACAATAGCCCTTAACCGCTCGTCCATAAGACGTTAGTTTTGAGGCCATAAATGCTAGACATTACTGGAAAATAGGAAGTGGCTGAAATTTCTAAAAAGGGTGGGTCCCAATTCTAGTCTTCTAAGATAGTCAATAGGAACTCCTAGAGTTAATGACCTCAAAATGAGGTCAATAAGCACTTGCAGCGGTAAGTTGCGCTTCATTTGTTTTTTTGGTTTTTTCTTCATCGGAATTTCTTGCTCATCCATTCTGGTTACTTTACATGAACAGGAATAATTGCTTGACTACTGGTTTTATTTAAGAATGGCTTTTGTCGTTTAACACTTCAAGATCTGGAATTTAGCTCTAGAGTCCTTTTCTGAGTCTAAATTTATTGTTTTTTGTTTCCATATGTTGATTTCTATTTTGATGTTGATGTTTATTTAATTATCCAGTGAGGATTTCATCGTTGGTTTTTGGAAGGCAAATTTTATCAAAAAAATGAAAGGAATGGTTCATTTTATTTTTCTTGAGACGATTGCCTTATCATTCTCTTATTTGCATAAAAATGTTTATAGATAGGGAGATGCAGTGAGAATGAAATTGATTCAGGTATCTATTGTATTTTATTGTGTCCTAGTTATGGTAGGGATGGTTAAATCTGATGTTGCAAAAAGAGGATTCTAACTATTACATATTGCGCTGTGTAAAATTTTGAAATTATTCATGTGTAATATGATTGCCATCCGAAACTATGATGCAGAGAATGGGCAATATTGATGATGCGGTCCCTTTCTTTGGTGAAGGTTTTAATAAAATATATCCTCTTATTATGGTTATTTATACGGCTCTGGTTGGTAGCAACTTTTTTGGTCGAGTAATCGGCTTCCTTGGGAGCTGGAAAAGGTTTATATTTCAGAATGAAGAAGCTGCTGACATGACTGGATTTGATTCATCTGGGATTATGATCCTACAAAAAGGCAAGTGCGTCAATTTTTGTGTTTCTCAACTGTTTCATACCCTCACCGACTCCATTCCATCTGACCCCCAATCAAAAAATTATATAAAAATCAAAATCTTCTTTTGTTTTCATCCAAATCATATGTTACTGCACATTCTCAGTTTTGTACATGGATTTTACAATTATATTGTTAACCTACCTGACAGCCAACCTTCAAAGTTTGTTATCTGGGTTGATCTGAATTTGTGGCGTTCTTAAATATTCAGTGGTTATTTAAGCAGAGCAGATGATTTCTGAGGCCGCTCTTTTCCATGCAGAGCGTTCGTGGCTTGAGCAAGGTCATAAACTTGGGGAGCAAGTCATACCATTAGCAAGAAATTTCAATAATGCAAGTTTGGATCTTGAATGTAGCTTGTCGCAGGTATTCCTTCCTTCCAGTTTCAATTGTTTTGATGATGGTAATTTTTTTCATTTAGATTTTTGGCAGATTTTATGCCTTTTGGGGTCGTGTTGGATTTCATTGATCCTGCAGCCAGTCAGTGAAGCCATATTCATTATCTGGATGAATATGGGCCGTCATAGTGATTGTTGGCGTCTGTTAAGCCATATTCACAATCACAATATGTCGAGGCTTCTTGCTATCTATGTAATATTCATTACATACATAGCACACTCAAATCCTTAATTTCATGTCAAAAATAGCACTATTATCACTTTTTAAATGTGAAATCCACTTTTTTCATGCATAAGTTTAAAGCACCAAAATGCTATGTATGTAAATATCAAGATGTGAGATATGTAAATACATAAGAATTTTGTGCTATATATGTAAATTTCCTTTATTTTTATGGTTTTAAAGATTAATAAAAGCCAAATAAAAGTCACTAATTTGGAATCTTATATTTATATGTATTGCATGAACTGTAAGAAGTCTTTGTAATCCTTGCTTGGTTAGACCTTATGCATTTTTTATTGTGGCATTTATTACATACATTCCACACACTTTTTGTATATTTACATATCTAACATCAAATCATTGATACTTACTTGCATATCACTCAAATCCTTAACGTCACATCAAAAATATCGCAATCACTATCTTTTAAAAGTGATATGTATTTTTTCACGCATATGTTTATGACACTAAGGTATTATTAGTATAAATATCAGACTTTGGGTGTTAAATATGTAAATACATAAGAAATGTGTGCTGCATGTGTAAATTTCCCTTTTTTATTTTATTTTTGTGAGCCGCTGATGATCGGTTACTGTGTAGGATAAGGGCACCAGGGAGATGATAGTTGCTGCAAATCTTCCCAATGAAGTTCCCAAACGGAATTTCCTACATCAGAAAGAAAATAACCAATCCTATGGTCGAGAAGCTATAGCCAATAAATACGCAGCTTTAAGGGAAAAGCTGGGCAGGCAGCCATCCTTCGCAAGATCATCAAAAGAGAAGGGTGTGCCGTCAACTTCAGTCTCATTGCTCAACCCGGATGACAACCATAACCATTCTGATGAAAACACAGTTGCATCCGGAATTTCCTCCAAGTGGGCATCAATGAAATCTAGTTTTCAAAATCTTAAAGCTAATATAGGAGCAAAGAAGTTCAAGTTCCTCCCCCTTCGACAGATTCAGGGAACTTCGCTTCATTCCCCTACCTCCTCGTCCGAGTGCCTAGATGAAATATTTTGGAGGATCAAAGAGCGGCCGAGTAGAGATCAAAATGACGATTTTAGCTACGAAGATGGTGATGGTTTGGAAATTATGGGGTCACGGCCTAGCAGATAGTATACTTCGCATGTCCTTGATCGGCAGGACGGGATGCTATGTAGTTTATGAACCAGTTTCATCAACAGACAATTAGACTGGGTTTGCCTTGATTTGCCAAAAGAATGACTACAGCATTTTCCACAATGATTCTTTAGAGGAACAGTTTTGGACACAGGGCTTGGGATTTCCAGCAAAAAGGGTGTCAAGTGGCTATCTATTTTACAACACTTATTTTTGTTCACATTACTGATCAATTTTCAATGAGACATAATATATTGTAAATTCTTAGTTCTCCTATATATATATATATATATATATATATATATATGCA